AGCCTTACCTACCTTAAACGTGCTCAAACACTTATATTGCTTACATTTTAGCAGTTATCTAACACAAAGTCTGTTTTATAACAAAGTGATAAATGTCTCATGTAATCTATTAAATACTATTCTGAAAGTGAAAAACAGAATGGGTTTTTGTATGGATACTGAAAGTATATTTTCAACTGAATGCACATGCCTTTCACACAATCATTAAGTCAAAAAATCATAATTTGAACTATCATAAATAGAGGACCATCTGTCTTGGGATTCCAGAAATTCAGTGGGGGAGAGTTAGGGTGGGATGAGGGAGGCAAAGGCAAGGAGCTTCATGAGGTCATTAAAATTACAGAACACGGGCTGCAGCTAGCTTTGCCCACAGGTTGGATTGGCCCTGCTCTGGACATTGGATACGGTTAAGTTCCAGAACTCAGTAGCCAGGAGAAAAATTTGTAGGCAACAGGTACTAACCACAGGGAACAGGTACTAACCACAGGCAACAGGTACTAACCACAGGGAACAGGTACTAACCACAGGCCACTGTGTAGCCCTCCCTACCAGTTCACCTGTCTCCGCTGCACATAGGGCCAAGGGAAACTAGGCAGTGCCCAGGTCTGCCACCATTGGCTCTCAGCTATCTGATGGTCTCTGGGGCCCCAAAGGGAAGTCCCAGATGGCAGCATCCATCAGGAGAGCTTGGTTCAAGCGTGCCCTGCAGAGGGTTGTTACTCTTTCTGTTGGCTTGAGGAGACAATAGGCTGCCTCATGGCTGTCATTAAACTCAGAAAAGCTAGATGGCTAAATCAATAGCCTCGCAATTGATGATGAATGCTTTAAGGATGGACCATCCCAACGCCAATATCTGTGAGTCCAAAATGACATTTCATCTGGATTCCCTCTTGCCTCTGTGGAATGTTGAGTGCTGCTGCTGAGCTAGCCCAGAGCAACCTGAGGCATAGGGAAGCTTGTTCCCGGAGCGGCAGCTCACCCACCTCCATACACCAACTCCCCTTCCCAGACCAGCTCCCTCCCACACCTCTCTCCTGTATCCCCAGCTTTCAGCCTGCGGGATGCTCTTCCTTGGGGACCTGACTTAAATTGAGGGATTCATGTTCAACCAATTTCTTGCCAAGCTCCTGTCCTGGTCCAGGAACAAGCTGGATGTCTCCATACACATGCTATTATTTCATCCCCACAGCAACTCTGTAAAATAGGCATTAGCCTCATTTTGCAGATGACAAAACCAAGACAAGTTCAATGACTGCACAGGGTTCATATGGACACCAAATGCAGAGTGGGAATTTTTTTTTTTTTAAGACAAAATTTTGCTCTGTTGCCCAGGCTGGAGTGCAGTAGCACGATTTCGGCTCACTGCAACCTCCGCCTCCCAGATTCAAGCAATTCTCCTGCCTCAGCCTCCCAAGTAGCTAGGATTACAGGTGCCTGCCACCATACCCGGATTTTTTTTTTATTTTTTTGTATTTTTAGTAGAGACGGGGTTTCACAATGTTGACCAGGCTGGTCTTGTACCCCTGACCTCAGGTGATCCACCCGCCTCGGCCTCCAAAGTGCTGGGATTACAGGTGTGAGCCACCGCGCCTGGCCCAGAGTGGGAATTTAACCCAGATTCTCCAATTCCCAAACCAGTGCCCTTTCCACCCACGCGACGATACTTGTCTAATGGTGAAAGTTCAAGCATGGTTGACGGCTGATAAGATAGTTTTGGTCTGGAGGAACCTCGATGATGTTTATGGGAGCATTCTGCAAGCTTTAACGCTCAATACACACAAAAGAGGTTTAATTACACCATGCTGGTATCTGTCCTCTCCTGCACAGGAGGAGAGTCCAGAAAATCCATTCATCCATTCCTTTGGTGCAAACAATAAGTCATCTTCCTGTCCATGCTGGATGAATGGCAAGAATGCTCCCTCTCCCACCAACAAATCCAGTTAACTACAAAGGCTGTGCATCTCTCAGATCTGCGCTCTGTCTCCACCCACTCCCCTTCCCTGCAGCTCTGTCATCTCTCATCTACATTACTGCAGTGCCTGTGCCTGATCTCCCTGCAGCCTCCCCTGCCCCTCTGACCACTCTTCACACTGCAGCCACAGCCAACTTTCTAAAGGCTAGGTCTGAGCCCATCACACTTGGGCTTAAAGCCTCTCCATGACTCCCAGTGCTCTCAGCCTAAACTTCAAGATCCTTGATCAGGTTTTCAAGGTTGTGATCTGGCGGTGTTTCCAGACACTCCCCCTTCACCCTATGTGCTTCTGCTATGGACCACATCCATCCACAGGACACATCTCCTTCCATTCATTGCCAAGTTAACTAATGTCACCTGTCTTCAGCTCTCAGCATCAACATCACCCCCTCTGGAGGGCCTCCTTCTCCCCAAGTTGTGTCACTGCCTCTCCCACACGGCCAGCCAGCATCCTGTGAATATCACATCAGCACTGACCTGCAATCACGTTCACTCTTCTGGGGTCCCCACTGGATAGTTGGCCCTGGAAGCACAGGGACTGTGTCTGCATCCTCCGTAACTGTCATCTAGGGGCTTGGCATGAGTTACTTGAGTATTCTGTAAGTCTGAGCCAATAGACATTTATGTGTGCAGGCACCAGGTTAGCTGCGTGGAGGGCTAGCAGGGTTCTGCCGCTGCTCATAAGCCCACCTTTCTCACTTGTGCTTTGCTGAGCACAACGGAGAGGCAGTTTTTGCACATCACACAACAGTGAGGGGCTCCCAGAGTCATCCCAGCCACTCCCATGAACTGAGGAGCCCAGACCCATCCCAGAAGGCACTAGCCCAGACACCAAAAGTCCCCAGGGAAGGAAGATGACCCTTTCCTATATAGCCAGGGCAGCCTGCCTTCCACGGCTCCGCTTGTGTGACCAGGGCCTGGTGCTAAGAGAGAGGCTGGTGCGATCCACTGCCCTGTGAGCCACAAGCACACAGGTAGGTCCACTGACCTGGGGGCAGGATCCAAAGCAAGAACAAGCAGAGACGGGGTGGCTTCCACCCAAATTCCCACAACTTGGTTGGTCCTCCACAGATTATGGGGGTCACCTGCCCCTCAGCCATGACCAGTCCTCCCCTGCAGCCACTGAGTCTCTCTCAGTCAATCTCCTGGGGAGGTTCTCAGGGACCCTGCTCCAGCTGGACCTTTGGCAGAGGGTCCCCTCAGACACAGAGTGGTCTCTACAGGCTTTCGGACACGGTGGCTGCAGGATGGGGCCCTGAAGGCTGTTGCTTTCGGACAATTCCATGTGGACCTGGCCACCCCCTTGAGGAAAGAAGGAAGTAGAACTCCACGCAGAGAGGGTTTCGAGATGCCCACCTCCAACTGTTGTCAGACCCACAGACCCATGTGCACAGTCGTTTTTTTGTTTGTTTGTTTTGACGGAGTCTCGCTCTGTCACCCAGGCTGAAGTGCAGTGGTGCAGTCTCAGCTCACTACAACCTCCGCCTCCCAGGTTCAAGCGATTCTCCTGCCTCAGCCTCCTGAGTAGCTGGGACTATAGGTGCACACCACCACACCCAGCTAAATTTTTTTGTATTTTTAGTAGAGACAGGGTTTCACCATGTTGGCCAGGATGGTCTCCATCTCCTGAATTGGTGATCCATCTGCCTCGACCTCCCTAAGTGCTGGGATTACAGGCCTGAGCCACCGCACCTGGCCTCATTCTTTATGCCTGCTTCCTCTCCAGGGACATGTAGTTCAGCAATGACCCAGGGCAAGGGGAATTCTCAGCTTCTTTCATCTACCAAGTGTCACTGCGACTGTGACAGCATGACAGCCAAGGACCCAACCAAGGCCACTGGAAGACTTTTACTGCAGCGGTGCAGTGGGGCGCCCCCAAACCCCACCTCCTCAGAGTGCCTGTTCGGAGCAGGGACCCATCCTGGACTACTGCCTCACTGCAGCAGAGGGGTAGGCCAGACTCTGAGGGTCTGCGGGACAAAGAATGGGCCCCATGCACCTGGCACCCAGCTCCCATCCTGTGCCATGTCCCTGCTAGTTAGCACCTCCACCTATAGAGGGGCGGGAGAGGACAGGACAGTCATTTCCATCCACCTGAACTGCTCTTTGGCCACCCAACCCTGGAGGGATGGTCATCTAGTTTCAAGTCAATCCAGAACATCTACAAGAGGTTCTAGGGCAGGGCAGCAACCTCTCCAGAGACCCCAAGATGCAGGCCCATGTTGGAGGGAGAGGGGGCGACACTGCTCCAGCTGGGGGCTGTGGGGAGGAGACCTGCATCCTGACACCCGCTGCCAGTCACCTGGAGGCAGTTATCAGGCCCTTCCTGCTGACCTTGTCTGTGAGATGGCTGCAAAGAAAAGCCGAGTCCACATCAGACACTCCCCTGTAGTCATCTACAAACCCAAAAGGACTTTCCGAGACAAGTTTCTAAATTGCTTGCATCAGAACTGATTGAACTAACTCTGACATTGGCAAGGGCTAAGCAAAGTGAGGGAATTCACTCAGGGGAATTCTGCCCCAATGAGATCACAGTCAGCAGACACTGAGGAGAGACACTGAGCCACCTTCACTGGCATCACAGGATATGGCCCTCTGGGAGGTGTGGGGACAACTCCACAGGAGGGGCAAGGGACTTGGAGAGGAACAACTACTCTAGGCATGGAGGCTTCCACCTAAGGTAGACTCAGCCAAATGATCAAACAGCAAAGCACAGGGTGAGGCAAGAAGGCAGTTTGAGGGCCTGTGAACAAGGCTCTGCAAACAGATGGATGAGGTGGGGGGTGGCCAGGGAGGAGACACTGCAGCAAAGACTCCAGGGCCAGAGGACACCCTGAAAGCACTCCAGAGACAAGACTTTCAGGGAGGCCATACCTCTCCCAGTGCACTGGACTGTTGCTGTTAACAAAAATTAAAAATTGCATAAACAAACCCACCCACATCAGAAACACATGATGCTCCAGGTCCCACTGGGCGACTTGAGCACTTGTTTGGTGAGCATCTGTCCACAGGGGCATGTTTGCTCTGGAATATGCACTTTGGGGCTCCCGGGGAGGACTCCTTACCAGGAAGACTGGCCAGAGAACCAGGGAAGGGCAGTTTTGCTCAAATATGCACCTCTCTCATATTCCATCAGCAACCTGGCTCCTGTCTCAGAGAAGCTGTCTTCACCCCATCCAACACCCTAAGACCAGCCTATTCTCCACTCCCACCCACCAAAAATATGAATCCTGAGCTCATCAAAAGTTCTATCCTCCTGTTCCCAATTTATATGTTACATAAGATGAACAGAGGAGTGACTAGGGGCTGGGTGGCCATGTCTCAGCTCTGGGAGCAGACAGGCAGGTGGAGGCTGGAGAAGAGACCTCATCTGGCTGGGACACCAGGGTAAGGAGCCAAACTGTGTAGGAGGAAAGGGAGCCACCCACCAATGCCCCACCCAGCGACATGTACTGGATCCTGCCTAGTGGATAACCATTGCACACTGAGTCCCATAGATTCTTGACATTTTTTTAACTGCAAAACATTACACTAGACCAGCCCCAGCTCTGAGGGGGCATCCTGCCACAGTTGAATATCCCACCCTGCCTGTTCACCTCACACATCAGCGTGTGCGCACGTCATGACTCCAGCTGCTTTCTTCCTGGGGCTATGGTAGCTCAGGGCTAGTCTGATCTCTCTTGGGCTATTTTTGTTTGTTTGTTTGTTTTGTTTGTTTGTTTTTGAGGCAGAGTCTTGCTCTGTCGCCCAGGCTGGAGTGCAGTGGCATTATCTCAGCTCACTGCAACCTGCACCTCCTGGGTTCAAGCAATTCTCCTGCCTCAGCCTCCTGAGTAGTTGGGATTACAGGCACAAGCCACCAGTCCCAGCTAATTTTTGTATTTTTAGTAGAGACGGGGTTTCACCATGTTGGTCAGGCTGGTCTCAAACTCCTGACCTCATGATCCACCCGTCTCAGCCTCCTAAAGTGCTGGGATTAAAGGCGTGAGCCACCATGCCTGGCCTCTTTATTTCTTCTCTTTGAGATCACAGGGGATGTGATTGCCACCCACCCACTGCTGATGTCAGTGAGCTCTGTGCAGGAGATAGGAATCCTAGGACCAAGTGACATCTTTCCCTCCCTCCCAGCAGGGCAGCCTGCAGCTGGTGACGCTGGCAGGAACAATCAGGGGCACCACTTCCACTTGCCCTCCTGACGGGTCCTCTGTCACTGTCCGAGTAGCAAAACTTAAGGACGGCTTCCCCACCCGGAAGCAAGGGGAGAAAGTGAGTAGCATCTGAACTAGAGAGAAATTTGAGAGTTTCTAGCAGGAATATCTGTGAAAGGAACTAGGGTGTGCAGAGCCTGTCTCCACATGTGGTAGAAGGGGTGGCCTCCTATGCCAGTGGAAGGCAGGAGGAAAAAAGCAAGAAAAACTCAACAACTACTCCTCAGTGAAAAGCAGAGGCCCTGCCAGCTCTGCTGCACTCCTGGCAAAGCATTTCTCCAGCCCCCGGGGGACCCTCACTGCTTTGGCATCTGAGCTCTGTTAGCAAACACCATCACCCTGTGCAGGAGTTGCCTCCAGCCTCCTTCCCACGCCTCTCTCCATCTGCCTCTCCCTGGCTCCTGTCCGCAGAGGCCAGGCCTCTGGGTCATCTCCATGCATTCTGAGAGAAGGCCAGCAAGTCTCATCTGAGAGCCTTGTGGGGGTACACAGCGATTTGTCCTGATTGAGACTGAATGGGTATCCTATTTCCCCACCTGTCCCCCACCCTTAGGGAAAAAAGTAATTAAGCCATTGGCAATTGGAGCCCCAGGAAGGCAGAGTCGCCCATTCACCTGATTAAAAAGGGGACTGAAACAGGGAGCCAGGCCAGGAGATTCCCCGGGCAAAAAAAGCACCACAAATCTCAGTGCTGTTATTTCAGCCAGTGTAGTGAGTTGCCGCATAGGATATCACACAGATCCTGGTGTCTTTTCAACAGGCGAATGGAACACCTGGGAGAGAGTCAACCATTCAACTAAAAAAAAAAAAGGCTCTGAGGCAGGGAGCCAGGTGATCAGGCTTGGCTGGTCCCACCCCCACAAAAAAACAAACAACAACAAAAAGAAACCCAGCAATTGGAAACGATCTGGGTTGAGAGTTTCACAGCAAGCACAGCTGAACCTGGGACGGTCCAGCTCTGTGGGGGAGGGGTGTCCGCCATCACCGAGGTACTCCACCACTACCGAGGTAGTCTGCCATTGCTGAGGCAGCCCGCCATTGCCGAGGCAACCTGCCATTACAGAGAGAGCCCGCCATTACACAGGTGGGCCACCATTGCCGAGGCAGTTCTGACTACACCCATATAAACAGGACTGCAGAGAAGATCACACGGCAGCTGGGCAGAGCCCACAGCAACTCAGAAAAGCCTCTGCAGGCAGACAGTGACTGGGCTGCCTCCTTGCTGGGCAGGGCAGCCCAGAAAAAAAGGCAGCAGCACAACAGAAACTCATTAATAAAGCCCTAATTCCCTGGGACAGAGCACCTGGGAAAAAAAAAGGGGTTTATGAGTTCTGCTGCAGCAGACCTAAATGTACCTGCCCAGCAGCTCTGAATGAACAACAGAGCTCACAGCTCAGCACTTGAGCTCCTATAAAGGACAGACTGTCTCCTCAAGCAGCTCCCTGGCCCCCGTATATCCAAAGAGTCACCTCATAAAGGAGAGATCAGACTGACATTTGGCGGGTATCCTTCTGGGACAAAGACAGCAGAAGAAGAAACTGGTAGCAACCCATACTGTTCTGCAGCTGCTGCAGGTGATACCCAGGCAAGCAGGGCCTGGAGTGGACCTCAGCAGTCCTACAGCAGACGGGCCAGACTGTTAGAAGGAAAACTAAGAAACAGAAAGAAAGAACTTCATCATCAACAAACTGGACGTCCACTCAGAGACCCCATCTGAAAGTCATCAACCACGAAGATGACAGGTGCATAAATCCACAAAGATGGGAAGAAAGCAGCGCAAAAAGGATGAAAACACCCAAAACCAGAACACCTCTCCTCCTACAAGAGATCACAACTCCTCACCAGCAAGGGAACAAGGTTGGATGGAGAATGAGTGTGATGAAATGACAGAAACAGGCTTCGGAAGGTGGGTAATGAGAAACTTCTGTAAGCTAAAAGAACATCTTCTAACCCAATGCAAAGAAACTAAAAACCTTGAAAAAAGATTTGGCAAAATGCTAATGAGAATGGACAACTTAGAGAGGAATATAAGTGAATTGATGGAGCTGAAAAACACAACACGAGAACTTCATGAAGTATGCATAAGTTTCAACAGCCGAATTGACCAAGCAGAAGAAAGGATATCAGAGGTCGAAGATCAACTCAATAAAATAAAACGAGAAGGCGAAATTAGAGAAAAAAGGGTAAAAAGGAATGAACAAAGTCCCCAAGAAATGTGGGACTATGTGAAAAGACCTAATCTACATTTGATAGGTGTACATGAATGTGACGAAGAGAATGAATCCAAGCTGGAAAATACTCTTCAGGATATTATCCAGGAAAACTTCCCCAACCTAGCAAGGCAGGCCAACATTCAAGTCCAGGAAATACAGAGAACACCACAAAGATATTCGTCAAGAAGAGCAACCCCAAGGCGCATAATCGTCAGATTCACCAGGGTTGAAATGAAGGAGAAAATGCTAAGGGCAGCCAGAGAGAAAGGTCAGGTTACCCACAAAGGGAAGCCCATCAGACTCACAGCAGATCTCTCAGCAGAAACCCTACAAGCCAGAAGAGAGTGGGGGCCAATAGTCAACATTCTTAAAGAAAAGAACTTTCAAACCAGAATTACATATTCAGCCAAACCAAGCTTCATAAGTGAAGGAAAAATAAAATCCTTTGCGAACAAGCAAGTACTCAGAGATTTCATCACCACCAGGCCTGCTTTACAACAGCTCCTGAAAGAGGCTCTACACGTATAAAGGAACAACCATTACCAGCCACTCCAAAAACTTACCAAATGGTAAAAAGCATCAACACAATGAAGAATTTGGATCAACTAATGGACAAAAAAGCTGGCTAGCATCAAAATGACAGTATCAAATCCACACATAACAATATTAACCCTAAATGTGAATGGACTAAATGCCCCAATCAAAAGACACAGACTGGCAAATTGGATAGAAAGCCAAAACCCATCGGTGTGCTGTATCCAGGAAACCCATCTCACATGCAAGGATACACAAAGGCTCAAAATAAAGGGATGGAGGAAGATTTACCAAGCAAATGGAGAGCAAAAAAAAAGCAGGAGTTGCAATTCTCATCTCTGATAAAATAGACTTTAAAGCAACAAAGATCAAAAGAGACAAAGAAGGACATTACATAATGGTGAAAGGATCAATGCAACAAGAAGAGCTAACGATCCTAAATATATACCCACCCAATACAGGAGCACCCAGATACATAAGGCAAGTTCTTAATGACTTACAAAGAGACTTTGACTCCCACACTATGAGAGTGGGGGAGTTTAAGACCCCATTGTCAATATTGGACAGATCAACCAGACAGAAAATTAACAAGGATATCCAGGACTTGAACTCAGACCTGGAACAAGCTAACCTAATAGACATTTACAGAACTCTCTACCCCAAATCCACAGAATAGACATCCTTCTCAGCACCACATCACACCTACTCTAAAATTGACCACATAATTGGAAGTAAATCACTCCTCAGCAAATGCAAAAGAACGTATATCATAACAAACAGTGTCTCAGACCACAGTGCGATCAAGTTAGAACTCAGAATTCAGAAACTAACTCAGGTCCGCACAGCTTCATGGAAACTGAACAACTGGCTCTTGAATGTTGACTGGATAAACAATGAAATGAAGGCAGAAATAAAGATGTTCTTCAAAACCAACGAGAATGAAGACACAACATACCAGAATCTCTGGGACACATTTAAAGCAGTGTCTAGAGAAAAATATATAGCAATAAATGCTACATAAGAAGCAAGGAGAGATCTAAAACTGACACCCTAACATCAAAATTGAAAGAGCTAGAGAAGCAAGATCAAAAAAACTCAAAACCTAGCAGGAGACAAGAAATAACTAAGATCAGAGCAGAACTGAAGGAGATAGAGACACAACCCTTCAAAAAATCCATAAATCCAGGAGCTGGTTTTTTGAAAAATCAACAAAATAGACCACTAGGCAGATTAATAAAAAAGAGAGAATAACCAAATAGATGCAATAAAAAAGGATAAAGAGGATATCACCACAGATTCCACAGAAATTCAAACCATCATCAGAGATTATTACAAACAACTCTATGCACATAAACTAGTAAACCTGAAAGAAATGGATAAATTCCTGGACACTTGCCTCCTCCCAAGCCT